CCTGGAGCTGGGCTGCTGTGAGTCGCCGGCGACGGCGTAGGCTGCAGCCCCTGTGGCAGTGGGTTGCCATGGGCTACCGTATGTAGCCAGCAGCCAGCGTGAGCGGCCAGCAGCCACAGTGAGCGGCCGTCCAGAAGCCGGCGACTGATCTGCCCCGGCCGGGAAGAGCGCAATGATGGTGCCAACTTGGACCAGTGAAGCAACGTCCTCCACAATTAGAATGAAGAACAAAAACGACAGCAACTTGTCTGTTACCCTTCCCCCAACTCCCCAGTGCTGTTCCCATCCCCCCAATTCCCCAATTAAAAAAAAATCTTAAAAACATAAATAAATAAATAATAAATAAAGATGGCTGTAGCCCTATCGCCCAAAAAAAAAAAAAAAAGAAGTAGCATCCTGATGAGCTTCATGACATTGTATTTGCCAGTGATTTCTTGGAAATAACAACAAAGGCATAGGTAACAAGAGAAAAGATAGATAAGCTGGACTTCATAAAAATTTAAAAAAACAAACAAAAAACTTTTATACATCCTGGAACAGTGTGAATAGAATGAAAAGACAACCCATAGAATGGCAAAAAAATTTGAAAACCATATATCTGGTAAAAGATTAATATACAGAATATATAAAGAACTCTTAGAATTCAACAGCAACAACAAAAACTCAACCCAGTTAAAAAATGGAAAAAGGATTTGAATATACATTTCTCCAAAGAAGATATAAATGGCCAATAGGCACGTGAAAAGATACTTAACATCACTAGTCTAGGGAAGTGCAAATCAAACCATAATAAGCTACCACTTTAAACCCATTAGGGTGGCTACTATATTTTTAAAAATGGAAAATAACACATTGGCAAGGATATGGAGACACTGGTACAATGCTGGTAGTAATGTAAAATGGAGCAGGACTGTGGAAAACAGTTTAGCAGTTCCTCAAAAAATAAACATAGAATGATCTTACCATATGCTCAGCAATTCCATTCCTTGGTGTATACTCAAAAGAATTGAAAGCAAGGACTCAAACAGATACTTGTATACCACTGTTCACAGAAGCCAAAAAGTGGAAACAATCTAGGTATCCATGAACATTTGAGTGGATAAACCAAATGTGGTATATACATACAATTCAGCCTTAAAAAGGAAGGAAATTCTGATGCATGCATGCTATGACATGATAAACCTTGAAAGCATTATGATAAATGATATAAGCCAAACACAAAAAGTCAAATATTGTATGATTCCACCTATGTGATATGCAAATACAATTAAATAGAGAAAGGATAGTCTTCAACAAATGGTGCTTCAAAAATTGGATGTCTATATGCAGAAAAAACAAAACCAAAAACGAGTCTTGGACCATAATTTGCACCTCATATGAAAATTAACTCAGAATGGATCATTGACCTAAATGTAAAATATAAAAGTATAAAACTTCTAGAAGAAATCAAATGCCACTAGAAGTTCCACTGGAAATCATATGAAGATCTCATTTACATATGGTTTATTTTAAGGGTCTGGCTTATGTGATTGTGGAAGCTTGGCAAGTCCAAAATCTGATGAGGAAGCCAGCAGACTGGAGATTCAAGAGAGTTGCAGTTCAAGTCCAAAGGGAGTCTGCTGGAAAACCAGGTAGAGCCAATATTGAAGTTGAAGTTGGAAGGCCATCTGCTGGCAGAATTCCCTCTTGCTCAAGGGAGGTTAGCCTTTAGTGCTATTCAGGCCTTCGACTGATTAGATGAGGCCCACCCCACTATGGGGGACAATCTGTTTTACTCAAAACCCCCTGATTTAAATGTAAATCTCATCCAAAAAAAACACCCTAAAAGAAACATCCAGAACAATGTTAGACCACATGTCTGAGCAATGTGGCTTGGCGAAGTTGACACATAAAATTAACCTTCACACCTCCTCTCCCCCTGGCCCACGTGGTCATTGAAGCAGAAGTTCAAGTCGCTAAGCATCAGCAGAAGAATTCTGCATAAAATCTTGTTTTTGACATCCAAGGTATAATTTCATCCTTGCCAGTTCAGCAATTCATTTAAAAATGATTCTTAAAATACTTTACTAAGATTTTTGTTGTTTCAGTCAGAGGGACTCTCAGCTCTCCACTGTATCTTATTGCTAGAAAAAAACTCTTCATTAGTTCCTTTTTCAACTTGCTTCCATTTTCTTTACTTCAACAAACCAAACTGTTTCTGTTTAGGAATGCTGCACTAACTGCCCCTGTGCCTAATATATTCAACTCCAATTTTGAAGAAATATATGGTGATGGAAGGAGAACTGACTCTGGGTGGTGAGCACACAATGTGATATATCGATGATGTATTATAGAAATGTACACTTGAAACCTATATAATTTTACTAACCAATATAACCCCAATAAATTTAATAAAAATTTTTTAAAAATCACATCTGCAGAGAGGCCCTCCCTGACCACCAATTCTAAGGTATCCACTAACTTTTTATTGTTACCATTTACCTTATTTACAGTCTCTGCACATTACTTAATATTTAATTCTTTTTTTTTATCATTTATTTACTTGCTTGTTAGTTTTCTGTCATCCTACTCTCCTATGGAATGTAAGTGCCTCAAATGAAGGGACCATTCCTGACTGATTTACCACTCTTTTCCCAATGCCTGGAAGAACACTCTAAATATTTGTTGAATGAATGATACATTTTTAGGTTACCTGTTAAGTAATGACATCTGCATGCAGATAGTCAAATCCTTCTCTTGCATAGAAATTAAAATTAACATTCAACTCTCAAGTCTCCAAGTCCAATGTAAAAAGAAGCAAGGAGCTATTTAGCTAGCTGAAGCTCAAATTATTTACTCATCTATTTACTCAACAACGTTTACTAAGCTCCTATGACAAGGCTAAGTACATATATAGAGGCTGTACAAAAAAAAAAATGGAGGGTGCCATAAAAATGTATACACATTTTAAGAGACGTTATCTCTTAAACATTTTAAGAGACATATAATTTTATTTTTTTATGCATACATGTATACATGCACACACATATAAACGAAAGTCTGTATTAAGCACTCTAGGAGCACAGTTGAAATGGAGTGTGTGTTGGGAGCTCCTTCACAGTTCATGAAGGACTTGACCGAAGAGGTGATGTTTGTGCTGACTGTGTGGCGGGTGCGATTCGACACTCCGAAACTGGTTCAAAGGTAGCAGGAGGGGAAAACTCTAGAGCGACACTCAGCACTATCCAATAGAAATATGATGTTAGCCACAAATACAAGCTATATATGTAACTTACATTTTCTAGTATTCACATTAAAAAGTAAAAAGAAACATATCAAATGAATTGTCATGCCATATTTTGTTTAACCCAATATATCCAAAGTATTTTTTCAACATATAATTATTATTAAAAGTTTGAGATTCGTATAATGTTTCATACTAAGATTTGAAATCTAGTGTATATTTTACCCTCACAGCACATCCCAACTTAGACTAGCAGCATTTTGAGTGCTCGGTAGCCACAGGTTAGTGGCTGCCATCCTGGACCCCGCAAGTCTAGTGGAACTTCCAGTCATCCTGGCTAGGTGAAAATATAGATCAAAACAGTAAATCTCCAACCATCTCTGGTATAGGACCAGTGTTTTGTTTTTTTACATTTCCAAACTGTTTTGGATTGATACTTTCGTAAACTAAAATAGAAAACAGCTACTGGAAAAGATAAAAATGAAATATAAAATGAAGCTTAATTTTAAATACCAGATTCATTAGGCATAATATTGTACATTCTCACTCTCAGCTTCTATACTTACCTCACCATGGGCGGATCTAGAATGTGGTGGTGCTTGTCCTCTGAACAATCTTATTCATTCCTGCATAAAGGAAAACACCCCCTTTTTGCTTGGCTAACAAGATAGCATCCCTCTGGCAATCTGATGCTTCAAATCTCCCAGCTAGGTGGTTTAGCATTGCTTCCTTCTGAAAATAATGGCGCAGGGCTGCCGTAGTTTCTCCAGTAAACAAACCCATGCATGCACACCACAGTTGTCCCAACATCAGTTATTAACACATCTTCCATAGATTTTAAAATCCTACCTTTATTACATAATAAATTCCAATTTGTATTGGGGTATATTTCTGACTTTCTATGTTATTCTATTGGTTTGTCTATTCACATACCAATACTACACTGCTTTAACGTTATAGCTTTATAATTTGTTTTAATACCTGAAAGAGCTTGTTTTTCTCATAACTCTTATTTTTCAGAAACTTCCTAGCTAAATTTTGTTTACTTAGTTTTTTATATGAACTTTAGAATCAGCTTCCCAAGTTCCAACAAATTTTTTTTTACTGAGATAGTATTAAATTAATAAATTAATTTAGGAAGTGTTAACAACTATATGATGTTGAATCAGCTTATCTAAGAACATGGTATACCCTTCCATTTATTAATATTTAGATTCTCTTTTCTCACTATTGTATTTAAAGTGTTCTTCATATAAATCATTCCATTTTTTTTTGTTAAGTGTATTCTTAGGTCGTTTACTCTTTTTATTGCTGCTATGAAAATGGGGACTTTTCAGGGTGATGGGTTAGCTCAGTTGGTTAGAGTGTGGTGCTGATAACACCAAAGTTGCTGGTTCAATCACTGCACGGGCCACTGTGAGCTGCACCCTCCTTAAAAGAGTCAACCATGCCATTGTAGCATGGAAGCAATGTGGAACCAATGACCATGGCTGTTCCCCAATAAAATTTAAAAAAAGAAAAGAAAAGAAAACGGGGATTTTTCTTCCATTACGTCTTCTAACTGACTGTTTTTAGTGTTCCTATTCTTACCAATGAGCAAACTGACAATAAGAGAAGTGACACTCCCACTGGCAAGTGGCAGAGGTGAAACTTGAGCCCAGGTTTTTATTATACCCCCTGCCCCAGCTTGTGGATAGAAACCATCCACTCTTTAGCATATACTTTGATAACAAAATATATTATTACTATCACATATTTGTTTCTTTTTCAGGTAGAGCTTAAAGGAGTCACAGGACATGATCTAACCCACTCTCATTTTACTGGAGAGGAGAACGATGCAGACAGACAACCAAGGAGCTGACTTCAAGTTACAGGTAAAAAGGACAAATAGATCCCATGTGATTCTGTCACCTGGCTTTACCAATTCCTCTTCCATAAAGCAGCCTGCGAACTTCAGGGAGCTGGAAGTGATGGCTTGCAGCCCTGATTTTGGCTTTCTAATTGGTAATGCTACTTTAATCACCCCCTGCTGAATTTTTTTCACGGAACTGAAATTACAAGGGCTATTTCTACTTCTTATCCTTGTTTAAAGTACCGTTTTGCTCTGCTTACCATAGAATTTGCATGAGGAAGTTTTTTATTTTCTTTTTTTGTTTTTTCGTGGGGGTTTTTTTTGGTGTCCACATTTAATTTCATTTTGAAATAACAGACGCTTTGTTGACTAGGGTCTTGGGTTCTTTTAAGGAAGCCAAGAATGAAAAGCGGTCAGTTCATACTATCATAGACCTGCAGAGGGAGCTCGGTGGATTTCTTTTTTTTTTTTTTTTTCTCCAATGCTTCTGCAGGTCCCTTGGTGAATGTAGCAGATTTTAGAGCTGTGTATCCATCAGACAGTGACTATGCACTATACATTTTTAGAAGGTCAAGGTAGTTTTTCCTTTCCCTATTGCTTCGCTGTAGAATGGATTACCACCCTGGGAGTGGAGGGGTCAGTGCATAGAGGGTTTTAGTCAAATGCGCTCTATAGTGCCTCTGAAAGGCTCTGGACTATCTCCCTGTAGGCATAGACCACAAGGAGTCCTCTGGCTTCCCCAGAGCTCGGCATCCTTGGCTCTCTAGAGAGAGCCACTGCCTTTTCCACATAGCCTGCCACCCCCTCCCCCAGTTTAAATTATAAATGTCATACGTGCTCATTGTAGACAATTTTTGAAAATTGAAAACACATTGAAAAAGAAGAAAACACATCCATAATTTCCAACCCAGAGCTAACCACTCTTAATGTATTTCCTTCTAGTCTCTTTATAGAGAGAAAAACTGCCTAAAATGTAGACTCTGCAATTTCCTTTCTTTTTTTCTTAAGGCACAACTGACTTATCACATTATATCAGTTTCAGGTGTATATTGTAATGATTTGATATTTATATATGTTGCAAAATGATTGCCACAATAAGTCTAGTTAACATCCAACATCATGCATAGTTTCCAAAAATTTTATTCTTGTGAAGAAAACTTTTGATCATTCTCTTAGTACCTTTCAAATATGCAGTATAGTGTTATTAATTATAGTCACCATGCTATGAATTACGTCCCAGGACTGACTTATTTTACAACTGGAAGTTTGCACCTTCGACCCCCTTGGCCCATTTTGCCCAACCCCCACCCCTGCCTCTGAAAACCACCAGTTTGTTCTCTGTATCTATAAGCTCATGTGTGTGCGCGCGTGTGTGTGTGTGTGTGTGTGTGTGTGTGTGTGTGTGTGTGTGTTGGTGTTGTTTTTAGATTCAACATGTAAGCGAGATCATATGGTATTTGTCTTTCTCTATTTGACGTGTTTCACTTAGCACAATGCCCTCAAAGTTCATTCATATTGTCACGAATGGCAATATTTCATTCTTTTTTTTATGGCTGAATAACATTCCACTGTGTATATGAGTATATACTACAGTTTTATTTATCCATTCATGTGTCGATGAACATTTAGGCTGTTTCCATATCTTGGTTATTGAAAATAATGCTGTAATAAACATGGGGGTGCCTATATCTTTTCAAATTAGTATATTTATGTTCTTTGGGTAAACACCCAGAAGTGGAATTGCTGGATTACATGGTGGTCCTGTTTTTACTTTTTTGAGGAACCTCCATATTGTTTTTCATACTGGCTGCACCAATTTACAATCCTACCAACAGTGCACAGGGGTTCCCGTATTCTCCACATTCTTGCTGACACTTGCTATTTCTTGTCTTTTTGATAATTAGGCTCTGCAATTTTCACTTGAGAAATCATGAGCATTTTCTCACTGAAATCCATGTCAGGACAACTTCCTTAGCTGGAGAGGGGTGAGGGGAGGATGGATACTAACACACATGACAGTTGTTAGTATCCACCGAGGCTTCTGCAATTGGAATCCAGTTTGACTGAACACACAGACCTCTCCCTTGGTCCCCTGAATTCCCCTGATGATCTGAAGGTGAGTGCCTTGGTCTAGAGCTGCTGTGGCTCAGTGTTCCTGCTAATATCCACATATTAAAAGGCTAGCTCGTGATTCTTTCACTACCCATGTGATGATAAAGTTTTGGTCACAATTCTGAGATCCCATGTGACGTGGCAAAACATGTTCAACTTAGCAGGAAGCATGTGTTTTATTGGGCACTGCACATGGGACACAGTCCACTGAGCCTGCCCGTGGCACCATCCAGCCCCGCTGTTCCTTGTGCATTTGGAGGAGGTAAAGAGGGTGGAGCCTGCAGCACTCATTTAACTAGACTCATTACTTTGTGTTAATGCAGAGAACGAGAAGACAAGCTTATGTTAGCACCAGACTTTCTTTTGGATAAATTACTTTTATGCAAACCATGTTTACTTTAAAAAGTAAAGTGTTATATAAAGTGCTTCATTGGGAAAAAAAAAAAAGGATCTCAGGTAATATACCAAAATTTTTTTTTTGTGGTGTGTTTTTTGTTCTTTTGTGTTTCTTCTTTTTAATATACTAAATATTTTTAACAGAACTCTGTCTAGATGTGGGATTATGAATGATGTTTCTTATTTCATTTTCTAAAGTGAACACTTAGGTCTTTTGCATACTAGCGAATGTCTACTGAGAGAATAATAGGAATTTCTAAAAACTTGCTGCCTACGCTGTTCTCAGGGAGGAGATATTTCTTTGCTTCAAGGAAACTAGGAGAGAGAGAAAAGAATTAAGCAGCAAGGCACCCCAGTGAGAACTGAGATGCATAGAGACGCCCATGTTTCTGTTATATTTGTGAGCTGAGGTGTATTCATCTTCCACCTTTGAATGAGTGGGCTCTTCAGATCCCTGTGAGCAGGATGGCTGAGCCTGACTTCCACATACCTGTTTATTCTTTACATGAGGGAGACAGATAGATGGAGGGAGACAGGGGTCAGGGATGACAGTGTTCCCTGATTCCTTGGTCCAGGTAAATGCCATAGGGGCCTTGACTTTATGGGGCACATTTTCTTCTTTCAGTGTTTACTGTGAGAGAAAAAAATCATTCTTTTCCTTTTAGTTAAAATTGTTTCACATAAGTCTTTAATATCTGTAGGGAACCCTCTTAAAAAAGAAAAGAAACAAACAGAAAAGCAGTAATCTACTCAGTTTATGTTTAGAGCAGTGAAGGGGTTCTCAGGAAGTAAAGTTTATGATGACTTAAATGCATTCTAAATTAATTAAATTAAATCAATCAATCAATCAATCACATTAAAAAAATTGCTGTTGCACACAGGCAAGGGAAAGGAAAAACATTTTATTTGCATGTTCTCAAGGTTGATTTCTCGTTGACCAAATGTTTCTCTGCTTGATTAATCAAGCGAGGTCTCCTTAGCATCTCAACAATGAAGAGGATAGAATTCGTAAGAGAGAAAAAGCTAAACTCTATTTTGAGAGCAGTATTTTACTTCAAGGAGAAGCACACATATTATAAAGGGTTCTGGACACTGCATTTGTAGGAAATGCTAGAAGGTCCTTAGGTGATGACCCAGGGAAGGAAAAAATGTGATGGCTCTGAAGAATTTCCCCAGGTTTTACCCCATTTCCTGAGGGCGGGGTTCAACCTGAAAGGGCTGTCAGCCTGTGTCAGGCTTGCAGGTTCAGACTTGGGCGAGTTTGAGATGAAAAATGTGCTTCCAGCAGGAAGCATTTTCTAAACTTCCATTATGTAGGATGTTTCCATCCAGATGACACAAAGCTCACTGCTTAAAACGTGAAACCAGAAAGTAATATTGTAGTGAGACTAGAAAGTACTATTGCTGCAGCCTGTATTTCATTTTGGTGATGGAAATGGATGCTGTAACGCATGACTAAAGATTGAGGAACTCATTTAAGAATCTGAATGAGCCCCAATCAAATAATTACTTGGACATTTGTTAGTATTGCATGAGCTTATCCATGGATCAGAGAAGTCTTGTTCTCAGATGTAGAGCTTTTATAATTTTGCCCAAGGAGGACATTATGGTTTATATCCATGTCAAAGGCAACTTTATTGTTGCAATCTTTATTTTATTATTTTTTTTAAAGATTTTTTTTTTATTTTTTATTGGGGAATTGGGGGATAACAGCGCTGGGGAATTGGGAGGAAGGGGAACAGACAAGTTGCTGTTGTTTTTGTTCTTCAGTCTAGTTGTGGAGGACATTGCTTCACTGGCCCAAGTTGGCACCATCATTGCGCTCTTCTCTGGCGAGGCAGATCAGTCGCCGGCTTCTGGACGGCCGCTCACTGCGGCTGCTGGCCGCTCACGCTGGCTGCTGGCCACACACGGTAGCCCATGGCAATCCACTGCCACAGGGACTGCAGCCCACGCCGTCGCCGGCGACTCACGGCAGCCCAGCTCCAGGTTGAGCTGTTGTTCAGCATCTTAGCTGTGGAGGGCAGTGTCACTGGCCCTCACATGTGGGATCCGAACCGGGGCCCTCTGGCATCCCAAGCGAGTTCTTAACCATCGCGCCACTCGGCCGGCCCTGTTGCAATCTTTATTTAAAAAAAAAAAAAGTGCTAAGGGAGCGTATTGGAAGAGGCGGATTTTGTTTACTGTTCTTGAATTCCAGGTAGCTTGACTTTACTTCCTTAGAACCCCTCCACTGGTCTAAACTAAATATTAACATGGTGTCTGGAACGTGGTGGGTGCTCAGTAAACATTTGTTGAATGGATTTAAAGAATTGCCATTGTCTCCGGCTAGGGACTGTACACCTGGGCCCATTTCCTCAGATGACATCAAGGAAATACCCGCGTGACTCCTCAAGTAATCCAGCGTCATCTTGGATTGGACCATGAGAACAAAGGCTAGGCAGCTGACCCAGGACAACAGATCGCTGCCAAGAGAGGCAGCTGGAGATGCTGGGGGTTGGCAGAAAAGAACCTGGTTAGCTTGGGTGCTGGGGAAATGTGGCCTGAGGCGACAGGGGGCCAGGAAGCCTCAGGAACTAAGAGGCTTCGTGCTGGGCAGGCAGACTGTCTTCCCTTCTCCCTCTGCCTCTGCCTCCCACCCCTACCCGCCCACCCAGCCACATCAATTTCTTTATCTTTGAAATTACAGGTTGTTTGTTTCAAATGGCCTGAGTCATATATGTTCCTTGTGGAAATAACCGAAAGTAACAGAAAAGAAGTTCCTCCTCATCCTGGTACCCAGAGCAGAGTCTGTTACTATTTCACTGTGTGATGCTTCCATGCTTGTTCTTGCATCTAAGTATGCCTACATATAAAGACGATTTTTATACTAACAGACGTGCGTGTTGATAGTATTATGATTGACAGTGACTGTTGTTTCATGTATTTAATGTAATGAAAACACAATATTCCCTAAAGTGTGTTTTTTATTGGCTGCATAATCTAACAAGCATATGTGCCATGGAGATTCAGGAGGCCCTGCCCAGGTTTGCGGGGAGGGGCCATGGGCCCCACCTCTTCGTGGGTGAGTGGGAGGGTTCTGGGAGAGCACGTGAGACGGGAAATGTTGTGGTCTTCCGCGGGAAATCTGCTCCACTATGTTCAAAGCTTGGACTGGCTATCCTGCCTGCTTCATAGTCCTAACTGTTTTCCAGTTGCCTTCTGTCTTCTGCAAAAGGTTACTCACTGGAATGATGTAAGATTAAACAGAGGTGACAAAAATCATACAGCCTGGCTCGGACTGAGGGAGGGACCTCAAGGAAGGTTATGGACGTGCCATGATGGTGATTACCAAATTCTCAGCATCATCTATCTATGCTCATGGCCTTTGGCCGTCAAGGCCTTTGAGTGTCCCAAAAAAGTGTTTTGAAGTGGGAAGGAACAAACCACTGAACCACTTCCTAAAAAAAAAGAAAGAAAAAGGGAGGAGGGGGCTCTTCCATGTGATCGCTGAGCCACTAGGCAAATTACTAAATTTTGTATGCCTTAATCTTCTATAAAATGAGAATGACTATAATACATATCTTCTCATATAATAATAATAATAATAATGGAGATTAAATGTGTTACTCAGTCAAGCATTTAGAACAAGGTCTAGCGAGGAAAAAAACCTCTTAATAAATATTATTATTATTTATTACTATTATTATTAGCAGTAGTAATAGCAGTAGTAGTATTTTAACAGCTCTCTTAATTGTTGGATATTTAGGTATGATAAAACATTAGAACATCTTGTAGATACATTTTTACACACATGATCTGATTGTTTCCTCAAAGTATAATTGCTATGTGTTCATATTTTAAGGCTTTTGATACATGTTGCAAACCATACTCCATACATGCAAATTTGCTCCAATTCACTTTACAGTCAACATTTTAAAAGAATGCCAATTTGCCTACTCCCTTCAGTACTCAGTATTGTCATTTTTAAATCCATATGTGAATTCATTGTTTCTTTAATTACTAGTGAGGTTGAGAACTCTTTCCATATGCTTATAGTCAGTCATACATATTAAATCTTTTGTGGGTTGTATCCTTTTCTATGAATTAACTATCTCTAACATAACTTTAATCCATTTATATTATACTTACTGTAATATTTTATATATCCCATATTGTGATTTAAAAACTTTATTCCTAGCATATTACTTTACATTTTCTGTTTATAATATTTCTACATATTACATGTAAATTTCCTATTCTCTCATTTTTCCTGTTCTGCTTCCTGTGAATGATTGAGTTTTCTTAATTCCCTTTTCTTATTTTGCTTCTGCTGCTTTGGAAGTTATATATTCTATTTCTATTCTTTTAGTGGTTACCTCCCAATTTTTACCTTCTACCTGAATTAAGAAAGTCTGTGCTCAGTCATTCTTTCTGCCTTCCTCTCACACTGTGCACAGATCTGGGAGTGCTGTATTCTCTATCCCTTCTGACTCTCCTCAATCAAACGTGTTATTGTTACCTAGCATTGTATTCCACTTTCTGTATCTCTTTTCTAAAATCTGTCATTGTTTTTGTGTGTTTTTTTTTTTTTTTAGCTGAGCCATCCTGCCACCTGTTGGCAGCTCAGCGGCAGCTCAGCTCGGGCTGGACTCGAACCGCTGTTGCTCAGAGCTCAAACCTTTGAGCGAGCTCTTAACCAACTGAGCCACTCAGCCGGCCCAAATCTGTCATTGTTTTTATACAGATGATTCTTGTCTAGATTTACCTGAATGCTTACAATTTCATTGCTTATTATTGCTTCTTCTATCATGTTTGTTTTTTCTGGATTTGATTATTTCTTCCTGAAGAAAATTACAGCAATACCTTGGTTTGAGAACATAATTTGTTCCAGAAACAAACTATTCATATTGCAAGATATTGCTCGTTTACCTAGTTAAAATGTATTAGAAATGTTTGCTCGTCTTGTGGAATACTCGCAAACCAAGTTACTCACAATCCATGGTTTTACTGTAATTAGTAATTCCTTTAGTGAGAGTTAATGGGCTAACTGCTTTCAGTCTTGGTTTGTCTGAAAATATTTTTAATTTTTCCTCACTATTGAACAATAGTTTCAGTAGATGTAAAAATATAAATTGAGCGTTATATTCTTTCAGCACTGTTAAGATATTATTCCATTGTATTTTGGGTTTTATTGCTGCTATTATCATGTATCTGCTCTCTGTCTAAAAGATGATCTTGCTGGTTGCTTGTAAGGTTTCCTCTTTGCCTTCTAATTTGCAGTTTTACCATGATGGAGGTGTTTGGGTGTGGACTTGTTTTATTATTTTGCTTAGAGTGTGTTGTACTTCCTGAATGCACAGATTTATGGTTTTGATAAATTCCAGAAAGAGTTTAGCCATTCTTTTTATGAATATTGGCTCTCCTCAGTCTCATGATTCTCTCTTTCTGCAACTTCTACTCGATATATTTGGATAGTTTCATTTAATTTAAATATCTCTTAACTTGTTTTAGATATTTTTCATCTCTTCATCTCTGTAGTGCATGTTGTGTGTTTTCCACATATTTGATTTCCAGTTCACTAATTCTTTGATCAGCTGTGTCTAACCAGATGAAGACTATCCACTGAGTTTTTAATTTTAATTACTAGATTTTTAATTTCTAAAATTCTTATTTGATTATTTTTCATTTTCACATAATTTCACTTTTGATATGTATTATTCCTTTCTTATGATTTGAATGTTTCCTTTTTGACATCAATCATGTCAAATATTCTTATTTAATTAATCTGTAGGATTATCTAATTACCTGAAATTCTTGGTTTATGGTTTATAATACTATTGTTTATTATATCTGTTGGCTCTTAATAATAGCTGATGACTTTCTTAGGCATCGTTGTGAGCTCATCCTCTGTGAAAATATTGTGGAGCCTGAGTTAAGTGCCCTAGGGATTTTTGTTGTCTGAAACAATTTCCATCTTCTTTTTTTTTAATTGGGCTTTTCTGAACCATATTTTTAGTGTGAAATTGAACCCAAAATATGCATGAAGTATAGTTATGAATTTCTAGGAAGGTTTGTTTGTTTGTTTTTTGTTTTTCCCCCTTGACTCCCAGTCCACTAAGTGACATACAAGCCTTCTTATCATGTCTCTGTGATCTTACATGGATATTTATCTACTCTAATCTTTTATGGAGGGTGTTTTTTTTTTTCTCTAAGGGCCCCACTTGCTGTGGGAGTCTTGATCTCTTCAGTCAGGTGGGACCAAAACTCTGCCTCCTGTCTTGGCAACATTATTAAAATTCAAGCCTCAAGATGATGGAAGCTGACAACCCTATCTCTGGGGCAGTCACATCACAATGTCAGCTCACATGCTCACTACTCTGGTTTTTAGCTTACTCTTTATTTCTGACTTCTGGGATTTCGTTTACTTTCCTTCAAGCTATACTTAAAGTCATATTTGTCCTATTCTATTTTGTATTAACAAGTATTTGTAATGGTTCAGTTTTTAAATTATTTCCCTAAAATTGGAGCCCCCCCCGCCCCCAAACTTTTTGTTCAATTGCAGCTGCTATAATTTTTTCTGTAGGATGTACTGGAGTTTGAATAACTACCCATGCATGCTCCCCAAAGTCCTGAAAGCTTGGATTCAGAGGCAGTCTTCCTTAATTCTTAGGATGAAGGGAAGGCCTTCATGGCACACAGAGAGCATGGTTGTGTGTTCTGGAGTTGTACAATGTAGTAGCCTTGATTGAAGGTCAAAAGGCACAGCTCAGGGCATACAATACATACGAGGTCTGAAAATTAAGTTTGCAAACTTGTTGCAATAATGTTGCTAACCTTTTTTTGATATCAGAGGGATTATTCACTATGAATTTGTACCAACTGGACAAACAGTTAACCAAGTTTACTATTTGGAAGTGCTGAAAAGGCTGCGTGAAAAAGTTAGACGACCTGAACTTTTCGCCAACAATTCATGGCTCTTGCGTCACGACAATGTACCAGCTTACATGGCACTGTCTGTGAGGGAGTTTTTAGCCAGTAAACAAGTAACTGTATTGGTACACCCTCCCTATTCATCTGATCTGACCCCCAATGACTTCTTTCTTTACCCATAGATAAAGGAAACATTGAAAGGAAGACATTTTGATGGCATTCAGGACATCAAGGGTAATACGATGACAGCTCTGATGGCCATTCCAGAAAAAGAGTTCCAAAATTGCTTTGAAGGAAGGACTAGGTGCTGGCATCGGTGCATAGCTTCCCAAGGGGAGCACTTCAAAGGTGCCCATATTGATATTCAGCAATGAGGCATGTAGCACTTTTTCTAGGATGATTTTGTGAACTTACTTGTCAGACTTCATACATTAAGACTTGATGTGGTGCTGCTAAGTCACTAGGAGGAAGGAGAAAGCAATGGTAGACTTATCTCTGATTTGAGATGAGTGCCATCCTTCTGGAAACAAAAGTCCTATCAGGAAACTGTACAAAACCAAGGTGTCCTCGGCCTTGGACAGGGGAGCTTACATAATCTGGCTGGAGGAAAACACCAGCTGAGATACACAGGTACAGGACACCCACCTTCTAGTCAGAAGCAGCTAGAAAAACAGTTTATGACAGTCCTTGCTCTGAATCTGAATCTGATGTGTTTCAGTTCAGAGGAACATCTGTCATAGATGTCATGCTGGTGACATTCCCCAAGTAATGATCATCCTAACTTGCAAAACTGCAAACCACAGTTGTGCTAACCCAACCAGTGAAGTGAGGAAAGAAAACTTAGTATGAGAAATATTGTATGTAAAGGACCATTGGATTATTTGCTATTAGTCTCATTGATACTTTCTGTGCTCCAGAAAAATACCCGTTACTAGTTAATTTTAACAGATTAAAGTGTAAGGCAGCTTTAGGAATAAAGATAGTTTTAGGAAGAAAATTTAGGCCTTAAGCGTGACAAGTATTTCTACTAATTGCAATACAGTGGGCCTGGAATTAACTGAATCAGATCAAACTTTAGGAAAAGTTGCTCTTCAGAAAAAGTA